TCCCCACGCCTATTGGCGGCCCGCCACCGCCCCTTCTCCGTCGCCCCGCCCCCCGTCTCCCCGCCGCGCCAGGCGGGCCGGAATCCCCCCCTTAGAGATTCGGGGCGCAGCAACTCCTCTCCCAGCGGGGCCGGCGCCGCGCGTAACCCCTAGCCAGCATTGGCTACAGTGGCTGCTTGTCCTCCTGACGCCTGCAGGTGATTGGCTAGCGGCTATCAGGGGCCACCTCTCCACTCAATTAGCTTCCGGCGGCGGGGACGTCGCCGGGTTACGGTGGAGCGAGATGCGGTGGTTCTGGTGGCGCCGCCACGCCTGCCGTGTCTGACGGCGAGGTGCCTGGTGGCGGTGGGCAGGGTTAGCCCTGTCTGTGGAGGGCTGTAAGGGAGTGGGGAGCTTCGCGTCGTGGTGCTCGTCTTCTGATGTGCCCAAAGGCCCGGGTTTGGCCAGTGGGCCCTTCCACAGCCGCTCAGGAGCGAACAGAACCCCGGAGCCGGTGCGGCCTATGGTGGCTGAGCTAACGCATAGCAGTATGCATTTTGCTTCCCAAACTGCGTGGTTTTAAGTGTACGATGGGGCTTGTGATTAAAAGTGTGAAATAACGTTGTGAAAAAAAGTGTGAAATAACGATGTGGTGATAAAATCATTCGTGAAAGTGCTGCCTGTGTAAGCCACCGTGTCATTAATGTAATTAATACACGTGCCAAGCAGTTTTGTGGAGCCTTCCGTTCTTGGTCTTTTTGTTTCAGACATACGGGAAGTGCCTGGCACATACTCTTTGTATTGCATCCCGTTGCTTTGGTGACGTAACCTTTGTGCAGGCTTAAGGCAGTGCTTGCAGGTAGATAATTCAAATTCAAATACTTTCCCCCCCCCTGAAGTTTGCTACCTCTATTGTGTCTAACCTCATACATGTATGTATTATTTTGCGTATTTATTAAATATTTCCTCAGTCCTTTTAAATCACTATTTAGACTGAAGCATTTTCACTGGACAGATAGGTTGATTAATATAGCTTCTGGTGACCACAATTGTGATGATGAAACCACAAATCTGCTTTAAAACGGTATTTTCCAGTTTGAGCCAACAATCCTTGTAGTGAACTTCCTGAAAACATTTATAGCTGCTAAATGTGGAAAGGCTATGAATTTATTACTTACAGGGAGTGTTTGTTTTGTTACCACTCTTGCCTATTCTGCACTGAATATCATAAAAATTTCAAAAGGAAAAACGTAAGGAGTAGCAAGACTGTGCCGCATTGCTGGCAATATATTATACAGGCATATTCCTTACTAAGTTGCATGTATGAACAAGGCTTAATTTACCTTACTACCAGTATTGTGACAGTGCTCAGAAATAAGATGCAAGTGTGCCACAAAGGTCTTGCAGGATAGTTCAAACTACGTTCAGGTGCAAGTAGGTAGAAAAATGATGGAGAGTGAAAGTCATCAACACTCTGAACCTCTTCCAGTCTGCAAAATTAACTAGTGCTAATTATACCACATTGAATATCTTTATTGTGAAGTACAAAACCACACAATATGATTGGTGTTTATTAGGATAATTTGAACTAGGAAGCATATGATGTGAAGCATCTTGGTATATACCAGCTTCCTCCAACAAAAGTCCTTGGAACTCCTTTGTTTATGTGAAGTGTCTTGAATTTATGTGTAATCAATGTGTATTTTATTCAGAAAATCGAGGCTCTCCTTCCTTGCTTTTGATGACAAAAAAGCCCCACCATATGGTGTGCTTCAGGTACAAAATCTGCAAGTCTGTGGTGAATTACCTGGATCTGTATAACATACATGTGCAATTTTCTTCTGATTGTGCACAGGGTTACATAGGCACAGCTCTAAAATTTGGTCCATGAATCCCTTCATTGGTCAGTATCAGATTTTAACATTGTGAACATTGTTGGAACGCTTTGTACATGTCTCCAAATGGCTTTTGCTAGCTGTGAGACTGTTCTGGGTTCAGCCTTGGAGTGTTGGAAGGTTAATTTTTATTGCTATAACTCTGTTGTATCTATACAGAGGACTAAAGGTCACAGAATTTTGAATTCTGGAAGAACACAAGACAACACAGACCTCCGTTAGTTTGTATTAATGCCATTTCTGCACCCTTTACTTTTAGACTAAGTAACTTATATCTCCTTTTATTTAAAGCCACTTCTAGGTAGTAGTTCAGTCATAAATAAATATGTAATCATTTGCAAGCCTTAAACTGTTACTAAAACCCTTTGTATATCAATCTGAACTAGAGGATTCAATTAAAAATTAAATGAGTACTTTATAACAGTAAACTTACAGCTTTTCAGCAGACTAAATAAAATTTAATATGGGGTAACAAATTGATATACAAAGGATATACAAATACAGGGTCCAAGGATAACAGAAAAAAACCTCCCTCTGCAATGTTCACGCATGCTAACTGCATTCTTGGTTATAACCTATCATTCAAAATGTTCTCCACTTGTGAAAAGAAAGAAAAACCAAGTAGTTAACCCCACTGGAAGCATAGTAGGTTCACTATATTTTGAAACTGACAAAAAAAAAAAAAAAAAAAATCAAACCTGAGAAGGAATCGGTTGCTTCAGTGCTTTTATTTCACAAAAGAATGAACATCTCGGCAAACATGTAGCACTGTACTTTCCACATAGCAGCAGCGCCCGGGCAGCAGCAGCATGTTACTGGTCTCTACGCTTTACTGGATGTTAAAAGGGAAAAAATGTAAATTGAGCATAATGTTCGGCTATAGTGAAATAACATCCCCGGTTTCAGCCTGTTTTAGTTAAAATAGATCTTATGCTGCCTCCTGTTGGTCACCTACGGACAGAAACATCTAAAGACTCCACATTATGAGCTTGCAGACAGCACATTCTATAGCCTCTATCTTACCTACTATCTACTGCTAATCAGAGGAGATATACAGCTTTCTTCACGGAGTAATACCAGAAATAAACCTGACCCAGTAAATCTACTCCATTTTGTTAATATAATGAATTTTTAACTGCAGTAAACTGATATACTACTACAGATGTATTTAGAATATAGAAAATAAATACATTAATACATAAATAATAGAGTATCAGGTCTGTGCAAACATAATCAGTATAAACACCTGAAAAATTGATATTTATTGTAACAACTAAACCAGTGTGATAACATTACCAAAGTGCCATAATATTTTCATAGCATTCTTTAAAAATTAAGATTATCCAATATAATCATTACTGGATATTAAAATACCACATACAATATATATTATCTTCATGTATATTATACTGGTCATGCTTATAATGTGTCCCATGACATAGAATATTATTAGGAATGTTTTGGTTACATCGTTTAAGTGCAAATAGTGGATTATAACTTTGCATGCAATTTGTATGTTTTAAACATCTAACTATATTTCAGTGAGAACATAGGTAATCATTAACCTAGTCCTGGACTATTTTTAGAGGAAGATACCTTTTCATAAAATAATAATGTGAGCTTTGAAAAGTCAAAAAATATGTAGAAGAACTTGCTTTGCACTAATTTTGTGACATTTTTGAAACTGCGTAACACCTGTGTAGACTGAAAAATCTATCTGATCCAGACTTACAGCAGTTATTGCAAGTAAACCGTATTCTTCCTAGTAGTGTAGTTGACTTTGCTGAGATTTCTCACATCATTAGCAATTAATCACAGAATTTGGAACAGAGGCCCTTAATTCTATCATAAAGCCTTGTTTTTAACCATGACTTTCTAACACAAATTCTGCATTCTGTACTGCTATGAGATTTAACTCTCTGTATGTGGAATTCTGGCAAAATGACATTTTTTCCTCTATGAGAGCTGTAATACAGGCTTACCTACGTAACTGAAGAAAATTAGTACTATTTCACAGTAACTTTTCTGTAAGCAACTGTATAAAGTGACTGACACTATAGCATTATTTCCTGATTACCGAGTAAGAGAGGTCAACTCCATTTGAAATCCATGAACGATTTGTCAAACTGGGAACTGACATTAGTTCCTCTGCAAATATAGCATAGGATATTAAAGAAGCATGCCTGTTTTCCAAAGTAAGCATCATTTATTTTTCACTATATATACTAATAATGAGTAATTTACCACATACGTCATAAATCTGTCTGATGTCATGTGCCAGAGGCTTCTACACATAGCAACTGTAGCTGGAAGACTGCCAGAAAAAAAAAAAGAATTGCTCTAAGGAAAAACTGGAAAGAACATCGCCTACATTTATTACTGATTTGTTGTTTATGTGGCTCAGCAATTTGGTCATGATAATGGCAATTAAAAAAACCTTAATTCTCTTGCCTCTTCCAATTTGCATAGCTATTTATACCCCTGTGCTATGGGTATAACTTGTTACTATTGCATAAATTGTATACTACTACGAAGGTCTAAAAATAACACAAAAACACAAACAAAGAATTGGGCCTTGTACTGCAATGAAATGACACGTTGCAGTAATTAATGGTTAATGAAGTTTCTGCTGCTTTCAGTAGATTTATTAACGCTGAAACTATTTTCCTGTAGGTCTGTTTTTCTCCTACTGTTTCTGCAAGCAGGAATAGTATTCTCCATCTCTCCTATATTATTCAATACATTTTCTTTGCAGTAACAAAAAGTAGTTGTGTTCCAATATAAGAAAAAAAATTGCATTTCAGTATGGTGATTGTAAAGGTTACTTAGCTAACTGTAGTTATGATTTGGAAACTCACTGTGAAAAGAGCAAAATAATGTGGAAGTTACCTGAAATACTGTAACAATAAGCTATTTACTTCTATAGAACTGACACATATCTTAATACAAATAAATTATTGAGTGGGAGGACTCTATTAATATGTTCTCCAAACGTGCATCCTTTTCATTTTCATCCATATGAAAATATTTACGGTGAAAGTTTCCTAAATTTATAAAGGTATCTGATAACAAATTATAGTTTATCACACATTTGGAACCTTCCATTGTTTACTGTTTAAAAAAGCTTTAAGCATTAATATTGAGCTTGAGTTTTGCAAAAAGTACATGAAGCAGTGAAGTGATGATGAACTTACCATGGTCATCTCAAACCATACAAAAGATGTTTTAGATGCCTCACTAGATTTTGTTAATTTTTAAACTCCTTGGAAAAAATATGCTTAGATGTTTAGAACTACTATGTTGGAATAAGATTACCTTACTGCTTAAACAGTACTTATATGAAATATAAGGGCTCCCAATATCTTATTCAAATAGCTGGTAAGAAAGAAAATTTTCAGGCTGTGGAGATTACAGATGAATTGAAGAAACCTAGCTAATTTCAGTGTCCTCCTGTCAGACATAGGTCCCACTCAATGCAAATTTACTTCACACTGTATGCCTACACTAATATTAATCCTAAAAGTCCATTACAATTTTAACAGTATAATAGATGAGTACTGAAGATTTATCAAGCAATATATTGTGTAGTGTTTGCCAATATTATTTTAACTCTTAAATTTACCATGGAGTACAAGATAAAATATTTTGATTCATTTAAACCACTATAGAAGTTAAAAATAAAAAATTAAAAGGAACTATTTCAACTCAGAAATACTATTTACTTTGTCTTTAAATATGGGGATTTTTCTTTGGTAACTTTGTACTTGATGTATCACAAGATACAAATTTTTCCCATAGGTAACCAAAGCAACCAACTGAAGTTTATATACAGCTTGCTGCTGTAAGCAGCATAGTGGCTAACTGGAGACTTCAGAGATGGAAGACTGCTGTTAGAAAATATCCTGAAGTATTTTTTCTTTACTTAACAGCATGACTGAAGCAAAACCACATGAATCATCCATCCTGTAGAAATCTTGCTTACTGTGCAGTATGTTATCAAAGTTTATCTTGCCACACTTGATGAGATGAAAACAGAAACTACAGCTACTACTAAGGCACAAGGATGGAGAAAAAGTGGTAAAACCGAAGAGCTGAAGTAAGATGACAGGAATTATCAGTCTCTTCAAGTTAGATACCTGGGTTTAATGTTCTGAAGGTCACTTTGGCTCTTGACCTTGCTAAGGCCATTCTAATAAGATAAAGCTGACGATAACTTCCTGAATATGAATATATTCATGAATATAAAACCCCTAACTAAAACACCACTAACATAAATTTCTTTTAAACTTCAGTTACATAGGGAAAACAGTATCACAGTCAGTTTTCTCACTCAGTAATTTGTCTACTTGGAAAACTGTGAATATTACAGAAATAGTGGCACATATTACACAATGAATTCCTCATGACTATGCTTCTTTAAAAGTAATATAATTTTGCAAATTATTCAGATAATTACACAGAAGACTTGCATATAAAATTCTTTCTATATATTGACTAGCATGAATGACAATGGACTCTTCCAAAAGCAATTCTATAGCATACAGTTTAAACTGAAGATTTAAATAAAATAGTGCATATTTTTCCATCTGTAAGTTAATACCTAAATATCTGTTTTAAAACTTGTGCATTTAAATAGATTCTTTTGACTAAAGAGTTTCAGAATTCTCCAGAGCAAATTGTTAATACTGATGACCAGGGGTCCCTGTATTTATTAAACTGAATGACCTGACAGTAAAACTCAGTTAAGGCTCGTGGCATTGGTGAAACTTCTTCCCACTCAGACCTATTACTATGGTAGACTTGAACTTCATCTGTGATTTCTTCTGGAGCATAATCACCACCTAATATGTAAATTTTGTCTTCTGTCCCAACTGCTCCTGCATTAAAGCCAGCACACTCAAAAGATCCTTCCCCTTTCCAAACACAGGTTTCTGGGCAAAAGCTGTAGACCTTGTAGGTGGAGAGATCACATATGTATAATGTACAGTTTACTGGAACGGCTTTGATTAGAGTTGCATGGAAAAACTGCCCAAATTCTGCTACAAGCTCAGACCATTGATCAGTCATAGCATTATACTTAAAGAAACAGTCAAGAGATGGATTGAAGGCATCAGTAATCTCTACTTCTGAGCCAAGGACGTAAATTATATTCTGACATGCGCTTGCTTCTGGATAGTATATACCTCTTGGTAATTGACTTACAGATTTCCAGTCTTTGGAAAGAGGGTTATATGATTCTACATCCAAAAGGCTTCGGGTTTCTTGAGCTCCCCTGGTCTTTCCACCTATTACAAACAGCTGATTTAAGGTTACAACAGATGTGTGCATTGTCCTTGGTTTTTTCATAGCTGACACGATGGAGAACTCATTACTGACTGGGCAGTAGCACCAGGTTTGGTCAGTGGCATCATGAAATGGTTCAGCAATATGAAGCCTGACAGTCCTATAACAATTCCCTTTGCATCCTCCAGTTATAAATATTTTTTCTCCATAACTAGATAAGCTTGACCCTGGAAGATCAATCATGTGAGTATGTGGTAGTTCTTTCCATTTATCTGTTTTGATGTTGTAGCAGAATGTATGTCTGTTTTCTCCATCTTCATCAGTTTTATGAACAAATATGTATTTTTCTGTTGTTGAAGGACGTGCATCTGGAAACAGTCCGCTGAAGTTTTGCACACTTTTAACTGCATCATTGATTATTACTGAGCAATTAGCACTCTTAAGTAAGTGTTCTTCAGAATGTAGAAAGTCCTGCAAAGTCTTTTCAGGTAACTGGTGCAGTCTCACTTTTTTAATCAGATTAGGCAGATATTTCTGTCGTGTTTCGATGTTGTGTTTGGTCCACTGAAGGACAGCTTTCAACACTGATTCTTCCTCTGGGACATTTAGTTCATCAGCCTCGAGACATTTTTGTAGTATCTCAAAATTCATCTCCAAAAAATCACTTGATCTGAGCAGCAAGGAAAAGTGGTGCTGTACAAAATCTAGTGCATGATCAAATAAGCGGACGGAACCATAACTTTCTGATAGAGAAAGCAACTGTAAGCAATTCACAAGATCAATACTTTTTATTAGAAAGTCACTGCAAGCTTTGGAAAGGAGTGAAACCTGAAGAAATGATGATAGTTGGAAGAGCATTTCCACATTATCATTTGTTATCTCTGTTTTTCCTGTGTAAGCATAATCAAGAAAGGCTTTCACTGCCTTGGGTGATAGATTACTAATAGTAACATTGCCATCATCTCGTTCTTTCATATTAACTTCAAACATGGCTCTGTGGATAAAATAAAGAAGATATACATACACATTAAAGATCGAGCAAACAGCAGAGAACATTGGTGTGAGAGGAAGGAGACAATCAGGGGTGTATAAGGCAGGCTGTATAGGTCTAAAATGTGACAGTTCTAAGTGAGAGTAATGAATGATTTGCTTGATATGGTTGAAGAAAAAAGGAGTGGTGATAAGAACATATTCAAAGTGATTGCTCAGAAAATGATAGCAGCACCTGTGGTTTGTATAGGTTTTCACAGTGTAGTGAAGTCTGCAGCACTCTATGAGAGAAAACGTGAAATTGTTTGGGCAGCATCAGTTTCAACAGCTTAAGAAAGAAAGGCTGATTTAAAAAATACATAGTAGAAAAGCCCCATGATTTAGGTCATGCACTGTAGATTAATACAGGAAATTAAGCGAAAAAAGGCTTTCCAGATTGCAGGCTGAGCAAATGGTTGGATAGATGATGGGTGCATTCCTAAGTAATGAAAGTAGGTGAGGGTGAAAGAGGAGAAAAAAATGTAAGGAAACTTAATTCTTGCTTTATAGTTGACAGATAGATGTATGGATAAAGGGAGATGTCAGGAAAAAAATGCAGTTTTGACATAAAATTTCGTGACACAGTGAAGCTTGTGCAGAAAGTAGATTATGACTGAATACAAGGCCGATGGTTGAAACAGTGGAACAAGCTACTGATCAGTAGATTTGTGCAAATTTTATTACAACTTTGATTATTACAAAATATAATAATAATAAATACTAATAATATTTATTTCACACAAGCTAACATGCCAAGATAGTTTTTCAAGCCAGGAGGTGCTGGCAACAGAATTGTGTTGCAACATCACTTGCCCTACCCTCTCAGAATCTAAGCATCACGCTGGGATAGCGACAGCTTCTGAGTTTGACAAAGAATGATAGTGGAGAAAGATTTAGATAAATCAACAAATAATAAGTGTATAATCTGGATTATTAATATATATAGTTCCTATTAAAAAAAGTATATCATAGTTCAGGTATACAATTAGTATTTGCATAGTATGTGATTTTTAAAATCTCACACTTTTATCAAGCTAAAAAGAATCACTTTGTATAGCATACTTTCTGGGAAATGAACATTAGGTAAAGCATGAACTTGCCTGACCTCCTGAACAAGAACACAGAATTGCAGTAAGATACTTTTGTCCCAAAGATCTTTGTGTGTACTAAATGACAATCATTAGTATATTTTCCTTATTAACCCAAGAGCTGTGATACACATCTGTAATTACAGTATAAAGTAGCAACTGAACAATTCTAGTAGAAGGAGAGCAATGTGGGCAGAGGCTTTGATTCCAAAAGCTAACAAGGAGGGAGCAAAATGTTGCTGAATCTTGGGTTTACACAATGAAAGCAAAACTAGGAGAAGTTCAAAGATCAAGGAAAACAAAGGCATTTCATTTAAAAATTTATCTAGTGGACTTAGGTACTTTTTATTCCCTGAAGGTAATAGAGGGGCCTTGTATTCTAGGAGAATTCATGAGTTTCTACCTTTCTGCTGGGAAATTTCTTACTTTATACCAGAGCATCTCTGTGCTGTCAAGCTGTAAACACTTGAAATGCTAGAAGTTGTGTGTCAGAGAAAAAACAAAACTGCTGATACAGTGGAGAAATAGCTTATTTCATTGGCATTTCTTCTTTTTTCTGGAGTCCTAAGAACACGTCTAGCCTGTATACTCTGCCATATGTGAGACTCCCACAGGCTGTGGGATGCTCCAGGACATTTGAAAATAGCATTTGTCACCTGTGTATAGGCAACTTGAATCAAGGTCATTAACTTATTTCTAGGAGCCCATTTTTTTATTGTTACAGCATCTTAGCTTTGTGTTTTAGTAAACAGTGTATTTAGAAACAAACTTTCAGGGTGAAATCACAAGTTTGAGTCTTACTAAGGCTCTTCATAAATCGGTATATATGTGAATGGTCTGTCTGCCCCTTAAAAATGCATAGCTTTAAGCACCAGAAGGAAGATCACAGATCCATTTCATGCTGAAAGGCTGATATCTATAGTTTAGAAAAAATATGTTTAAATACCTCTGAAGACAAAATATGAACAAAATACTGTGCTGACTACTCATCTTAGGCAAACAAAATCTAGCACCTTTCCAAACCGCGTACCATTTATCCAAAATTGCTCAATGCAAGATATAATTAATCTGTCATGTTTCACAATACAAATGTGTCAAAGTACGTAGACTGTCACATACAAAGTCAAGCAATACCCTTGAAGACCTTTAAGTACAGATACAGGCAACAGGTACGTCTTAAAGGTACACAACTTGTGTCAATTCTACCTAACAGCAAAACCATGAACTCACGGTTTGACATTTGTATTTCAGAGTCTGAAGTACGTATGAATCTCAGATTCATAGAGTCCTTATGTCACTTTGGAAATAAAACCAGACATATTTGGAGTATGGTTAGGCATCTAACACTTTTGTGTTGTTTTTTTCCTATCCTTAAAATGTTTGAATGCTTTCCTCAAAACTCTGCAGGCATATATTCAGCTGATGATTTCTTTTCTAATTTTTGTAATTATATTCTTTCCTTCCCTCCCAGAGAATTTACAATCCATTTCCTGAAAACTCATGCCAAAATTAGGTTTACCTGAAAAAATCACTGCACGCTGCCAGTACACAACGATGACAAGGAATTATTTCATCTTTCACAAGAATTTTAAAGTCAAAAAATATATTTTGTTCTCTGAACTTTTGTAGTACTTTCAGAATTTGTTGTCCATGACCTTCAGCCACTAAGGAATTGATTTTATTTTCAGGAACAGAAATTCCATTGCATATAGGTCTGCTAATGTAATCCCGTTGGTTGGCCATGGTTTCTTCAATCTGTTCCTGAAACTGAAATGGAAAGGTAAGTAGTTGATTCTACAGTCTATTTAAAAAATAAAAATTAAAAATCAATATACCATAAACCAAATTCCCAGCATTGAATTTGGCTTGTAAGTCCTATGCAGAGTTATAAATTTGGGTTATAAGTTACTTTTAATTTAATTAGATTTGATAATACTACTTCTACTTTGCAAAATATATACACGTAGCATACTTTGAAAAGTAAAATAGTTGACATACATCAAAGAACAACTCTACAAATAGTACCCACCTGTAGGAATTTTTTAATAAAATCCACAGGAAGCACACCCAGGAATGTGTTAAAGTTTTTAACAGTTATTGAAGAGAAAGACTAGTCCTAGGCTTACTCTCAAAAAACCCCAAACTCTTACAGTTTCATGTAAAATGAAGATGGAAATGAAATATTTGTTACATATTTTTAGATTCCAGAAGGTTCATCTGTATACTACAAACCCCCATGCTCAAAGCAGACCAATGGTCTTTCTACAGCTTACAGTGAAAGGAGATAACAGGTATTCTAAGTAAATTCCCATTAGGTACTCCAGACCAAAGGAACAGAATACAAACACTGACAGCCTGGCCTAATCGTTGCTGGGGCTGACAAAACAGGCTCACTTATAGATGCTTTGGTGACAGAGGAACTTTGAGTGTTCAGTTAATTGGTACTGATTTTATCTTTTACCTCTAGTCCTGCTAGGAAGCTGTATGTTTGCCTATAGCTTATGCTGCACACGGTGAACTTAATTTACAGTGGCCTAAACTAACTGGCTTCAGAACCGTTTAAGACATTGCAATATCCCTTTCAGCAGACAAGTTTTTCTGGTGAAAATCCCCATCCTGAAGTGCATTGTTTGTATGGTAAGTTGGCCTTCTCTTTTTACAATAAAAATATTTTACTCCACTCTGCCAACATAAAAAAAATCCCTGAACTTCAAATGTCAGCATATTATTTTACACCTATTTAAAGAAGTTTTTATACTCCTACAGATGCATTAACTGCCCTTACTGCAAATTTCAAGCTTGCCTATTTTAAAGCTTAAGGAAACACTCAAAAGTTTTTTCTATTGCAGGATTTTGCTTTCACAATTCCACTTAAAATTAACAACAGGTAATGGCCCACCTGAATTGACAAAGAAGGGGATAAAAATTTCCAAGGAAACCCAGAAATCAGAAAAATACTGGGTTTGGTTTTTAATTTCACAGAAAGGTTTATCTGTTAACATGATTCAGAGGAAACTAAGCCATCAGGCAGTCTTCTTCATGGGAGGTACTTTCATAAGCAGACTGATCTATACTTTATCTAGTCAGGTTACTCCAACCACAAATAGACCTCCATGTCTCCTGGAATAGAAGAGATCCATTGATCATGCTGCCAGCACTGGCACCCTTGGAGCACACATCTTCTCCCATGGCCCGACAATCTCACGTATTGACTCTTTCCATTCTAAGCCTGAGGAACTAGGAGATACAGAAGAACAAGACCACCATTTATTCTGATAATGTATGGCCTCATAAACCCAACTCCATAAATCATAAATATCCATAAATCATAAAGTATGTCAGAATTCTATACAATACCCTTTTCTTATGAACTTAAAAGCCTGTTCCTCAAACGGATGAATCTTCAAAAGCAGAGTTGTTTCAGTACAGTAAGTTTCCTGTATTTGAATGAACTTTAAAAAAAAAGTGATTGAATTTCAAAATTTATTTGCCATCATGTAAAGTAACACTTCTAAAGGAAATTTAAATCTTTTCACAAAATTCTGCTATTGATAATAGATAGTAGGTGTTTTTCTCCTTTTAAATGAAATTTCTTTAGCAAGCTCCAAGCTACAGCTTGCTTTTTATTAGTAAAATTACCAATTTCACTAATATTCTCCTTTGAACAATAAACACAGAAAAATGTCATCAAGTCCATCTCTGCTAGTTTAGTCAGACACTTTTATAAAAGCAAGCTATGTTTCAGTGAGTTTTCCTGTATTGCCACTATTTACACAGAAAGACTATCCCAGTACACTGGTGCCAAGACTGCAAACCTTTTAATTACACAATCAATTTATTAATGCTTACATAGATCTGTTCTTCTGTCAAAACTGCATTTGACTTAATTTTCCTTTGTATATTTCGTCTGTATGTTTTGTCACTTTTCTAACTATCAAGAGTGTTGATATCCTCAACTTTTATTAAAATGAACTGTGAAACTTTCTAGGATCCATTTATAAGACTGACTTTTTGTTTTCCTTATTACTTCTTGCAGTTTTCTCTTCTTCCACTCATATGATTTCATTTTTCTTTCACAGACATCAAATTTGTTGTACAGCATTACAGTTAAGATCTTGTGACTGTCTCACTACTCCAGTCTGCAGGTCATCCACTGCATTTAGTCCTCATCTGTAATAGCAGTGTCTTCTTATTTTTATTAAAAGCAAATTTCAACAGTGTACCTCTTTTTGTCCGTCATTAAGGAAGATACTAATGAATACTGTGCTATGGCTTAGCCTTATTTATCCTCCACTCCATTAAAAAAATAAATCTAAAAAAATTCAGTTCTCATCTCCCTTCTAGCCAACCCCTGTTTTATTTATTTTTGGTACTAAGTTACCACTTTACTGGATCTGTTGATGATTTTGAAGCCTGCCAAAACATCTTAACAATTCAGTGAAAACTTGGTGTGCTAAACAAGGCCAACAATCATTTATAATTATTTCATGCTAATTGTTTGGTTTTTTTTATTCTATAAAGCCATATGAATTAATCAATAGCTATATTTATAAGTATTTGATCAAGTTGCTGACAAAAAAGTAGAAAACACAATGGGTGCAGATGTATGCTGAGTAGGTCTGGAGTTCAGGAAGGCTGGGGAATGACCGTCTTTGTATTTGCTTCACTTACTCCCATACAATTCCACTTACAGTCTGTCTCTTATGTGGATTACCAAGAACCAAACTCCAGAGGATAGCTCACTGGAACTAGGATTTCCTACTTTTGTTTCATAACATATGTCTGTGTGCCATACAGCTTCTCATCATGTCAGGCAAAGGCTGTATTCCTAAGCCCTTGTCCATCATCTGACCCACTTGGTGCCTGTCACACAACCAGCCTTCAAGCATCTGAAACATGATGCATCAGACCCTGTGTACTAATGTATGTGACTGGGTATTTCCTGTGTGAGATGTGTTCTCTGATATGACCAAATTCAAGCAACCCTATCACTTGACAGAACTCTGCTCAGATACTGAACCTTTATACATCTTATACTGCTAAATGTCCGGTTAACTATTAGACTGGTTTAAAAAAAAACCCACATCAACACAAATCTCTAAACCCTCCCCCTTCCCACCCCCTTAAAGTTAATGCATTTCCCCTATTTTTCTGCTTGAAAGTCATATCAAACAAGTGGCCTGTTGGCCATTATAGTTACAAGGTACACCCCACATAATACATGCTTGGGGACATATGTATACCTCTCATACCTATCCGTGCAGATGTCCATTTGAGGGACAAGGCATTTTGCACACTTGACAGTTAAGTAGCAAGAAATGGCCAGCCTACGTAGAGCAATAAAGCAGCTAGCCCTTGAAGAGAAGGAGCTTGGGGATGGTAAACTAATTTTGGTCATTACAGGGGATGAACAAGGGACCACCTGGGAGCTCGGAGAACAAGAACATTCTTCTGGTCTATCACAAAGTTCATTAATAAGGACCCAGACCTCATTAGTTCTGCTGTTCACAAGACTCCTCTGTTTTAACACTGTCCTTTTCCCTAGGTGATAAGGGATAGAGCAGCCTAGAACATAATGAGCTCATTGACCTAGATGCCAGGTAACCACATTGAAAAGTCTGATAAGCACATAGTTGAAAAATGAGACAGACACACATTCCTTTTAGTAGTAACTAAGCTATTATTAAAAAGCTCCAAGAAAATGTTTAACTGACCTTAATACTTAGATATCAAAGAAACAGCTGCCAAAACCATTCACTGTATTTCTAGAGGAATTTTACTTCACCAATACTAATACTCCATTTCCAAAGACAGTTACAAGACATAATGTATTTATAAAGATTTTCTTTTGGCACCATCAACAGTTGGCACTATAAACAATCCTTCTTAGATGTACTTACAGTTCTGTGTGTGGATGAATTTGAAATGTGTACTTTATTTGGTTATAGTTATGCTTATCCTTCAGAAAGTCCAGCAACCCTTTTGAGTATCAAACTCATATTTGCTGAATCTTAGATACAACACTAAAAGACTGTAAACACAGCATACTGTTAAACATACAGGAATCCAAAACCATCCAGGACATCCATTTTCAGAATATCTCAACAGGCACACACAAAAATCATAGCCACTGCAATGTGATTCCTAGAAATGGCGTTCACATCCATTCTACCAGATTTGAGATAACAAAGCAAACAGAAATGTGGAGGGAACTTTGAGCACAAATTTCTGTTTGTGCAGGGTCGATGGCAATTCTCACCAGAGCATCAATCAAAACATACTCGTGTAAGGTACACATATTCCTGAACACTTTTGCTGAAAAGATTTTGCTAAACCAACAGTCAAAACAGCCCTACTGCTGCAACTGACAGATAAAATGGTTACGGAAGTTTAAATACGCTAATGAAGTTGAAAATGGTATTAGACGTGCAATTAATTCTAAGTGAATAACAGATCAAAATTACTCAACAAGGGAGGATAAGCCTGTGTAATGATGGAGCATGAACGTCCAGATGAGGACACAGGGTACAGAATGACACTGGAGAAGACTTACACCAAACTGTTTTGATCATTTTGTAATAGCAATAAAAATGTATATACAAACGTGTGACTTTGTAATAGCCATAGGGATGTTGTCTTGTGAAAGTACTGAGCATGCCTTAGTATCGTGTGTAGGGAAGTTAGGATTTTGTCAGCAAAAGCATGTTAGGGCCAAGCCTGCCTGCTAATAAACATGACCGAACCCCTTTAAGTCTGGGAGCGTTCCCAGCACAACAGAAACCAATCTCACATGAGGCATGTATGTATTCAAACAGCACAAATAACATTCTGTGTGTAAATGTTCTCTCCTCTACCAACACAGCTGGCAAAACCAGTCTAAACTCAACCTATTTGGTACTTTACAACTGTAAGGCAATTACCTTTGTAACTCAACCTTCTCCCAGCTTGAATAGTGTAAATTACTAAGCAGCAGTATTTAAAAAAAAAAAAAAAAAACTTAAATGCTGGTATTTTACAGCATACTTTATGTACCTAGGAAGAAAGAATTAAGGAGAAAGGAAGAAAGCCCAATGAAGATACAGAAATCAAATACATTTCTTTAGAGAAGTTTTTAACTTTTTTTTTCCCCAAACAAAATGTAACTGTAGCTAATGCAAGTTTTGAAAAGGCCAAGATCAGCATTTAAAAAGTCTAATATTAAAACCAATTATTATAGAGTTAAAGTCTACTATATAGCCATCAAGATGATTTGCTATTTCCACTCTACCTATTCAAACAGAGGAGAAATTAGTAATTTATTAATAATTTTAAAGACATCACTTTCCATTACATATCTAATTTAAAAGCACCTAATTTAATACTCAGCAATATGAATATGAGTGGAACAGATATATAAAGGGTTTGGTGACAGCTTTAATTTGGTGACACTTTAAATTGCCGACTAAAAAGACACGAGTAGATTGAAATATAATTAAAATATAAATACTGTCTTAAGATTGAAAGCAGATAGCAACAGAATTCCAGGTTCCTGTCTGTGAATTTCAATGCAACTGAATCCCACAGCTTTTTCATAAATAACTGAACTTCAAAGAAAATGAATATCCAGTCAATCATTTTTAGACAACCAGAAAAGATGCAATTGACATTTTGAGACATTTAATCCACAAAAGTGGCATTTATCAATAATACATGTGAGACAGTATTCTAAGAAGGAAAGGTGACACAGAGACTTTAAAGCTTTGGGTTCTTTAGAAGTAACTGAAAAAAAAACCAACCAAAACCGACCAAACAGCATGGTACCAGTAGGAAGCAGTGAAACTGCCTGGAGGCATCCCAAAAGTGAAAGATTTCCTCTTTGGAAGCAGTGATCTTTAACTGTGTATCTTCTCACAAACACATGAATCCATTAAGATAAAGAAAATAATCATTTAGGAGAACTCAAGCTGAGTGGAATTTATCCTAAAGCTGCATTTCTTGAACTCATCAAGTTCCTTTGGAAATTATTTTCTTAGTCAAAAAAGTTCAATAACTGTAATTTTAATTTTCAGGGGAAAAAGAATTAAACCGCCATGCTGTACTTCTAATTCTGACAAAAATAATAATTGCACATTTGGGAAGAGTAAAAGACTGCTTTTACTGAGTTCTGTAGTCCGTCATTTCTGTATGTGATTAACGTGTCTTTTTCAAAGCACACACACAATATTGAGCATACTTATAATTTAGCATAGGTTATTATCATAGCATGTTTTTCTTGTAATAAAAATGATTTTATCTTGAATTATTCATAATTACATATTGCACAGTGCATCTTGAATCTGCTTGCACTCATACATGATGTACATTAAAAAAACTGCTAGTGAAAAAACTGCTACATGCTTATAATCTAAGTAGAAAGAATGGACAAATCAAATCTATTAATAAAACGTGAGAGTTTTTCTAGAACTAGGCAAGATCCACATTGCATTAGTGTTATCACATATCAGTAACTAAATACATGGCCACAGTTTCCTCTTCGAAGTGTTCAGGATACAATGCGTGAAACTTAAGCCTCAGCTACAGTTTGATAGTGGTAAATAATTTTCCTGGGGGTTCGCTGGTTGGGTTTTTTGGAGATTTTGTGTTGACTGTGCAAAAATTCTCCTGCTGCCAGTCTACTTAGTCTCTGTCTTTGGTTTATGCATAAGAGAGTATGTACACATCCCTTGCTTGACCAAGTCACAAAACAAAATGGGAGCCATACTTAAAAATAAGTGAATTAACTTCTGATTCCTTGCTGCAACATTTGTTCCCCCCCCATGTTACTTTCGTGTTTAAAATACTTTGCAAACACCAACCTATGCTCAGTGATAACTAAGACTTATTTTAGATTCAAAGACAGCAGTTCTGGCTTATGTGGAAATAAGTGCTTTTTCACATTTAGGAGCTGGGAATGCTAAAAAAAACCAAAAACAAGAACAAAAAAACAGCACCCAAAAAAACAACCCCAAACCCCCCCAAACAACAACAACAACAAAATATTCTAAGAAATACCTGAAAATGTAATTTCTGGTATTTCTCAGTTATCCATATGCAGTCAATGTAGAATATTTAAAACATTAAGTATTTCTAAACGCAAACAACAAAAAGGTCATAAATTTTAAAACAGGCCCTATATTTTTAGCTTCAAAACCGAAGGGTAAACAAAATCACCATCTTTCGATCACTTACAGATGGCCTGCAAGAGCACGGCATAATTCCACTTCTGACAACTACTACAGCCCTCAGCAAAACCAAAAGCACAGGATATAGAAGGCTTTTGCTTGGACACACACATTAGAAGCCAGAACCACGCTGGGGAGATGCAGCGTATCTGCTGTGTGAACAACCGGCTCCTTTAGCCAACACCCAGCATAAGCGCAGGAAGGCACAGGCCGCTCCGGACCGGTTATGCAGGAGCATGGATGTTCTGCTGGCAAAGATGAGGCCAGAGGCACCAGGGAGGGAGGCATCGTCAATCGTTAACCAATAACAGTGCTATGAAGAAACCCCGACGGACGCTATCACCGAAGGCATAAACACGGCCCTGACTCGCACCAAGCCAGGGGCAGCCAGAAAGGACGGGGAAATCACATTTCGCAATGAGGCCCCAGCCGGCAGTTGCAGCCTTATGCACAGCCACTGCCACCATTAACTCCACCCCTCGCCCCGCCCCCCAGAGGGAGGCCGGGACCTCAGCGCCGCTACTGCGCACGCCCAGACAGCCCGCGCTTGCGCCCTGCGGCGGCTCCGTTTATTCTAAGGACGGACTAATCCTGGGGGGCAGAGTAGGACGAGGGAACGGCCTGCCCTCCTCCCGCAGGGCCCGGGCACGGGACGTGGCGGTGCCCGGCGCTGCCGCCTGTCCGCAGCCGAGCTAGGCCCCCCTTAGCGCTCCCTCCGAGCAGCGCGCACCCACCTGCAGCCAACACCAGCAGCTCACCGACCGCTCTGGCCCACCCTCCGCAGCAGCAGCGCCAGCAGATTGGCTCCTTCCGGTGTCATTTTCCCGCTTCTTCAGCTCGGAATGGTTCCCCCTGCCGTCAATCCGAGTGAAAGCCCGCCCATCCTCCAGAGCGGTTCCTCTCTGGCGACAGCGCGGGTGCAGCTCAGCCGCAGGCTCCGCCTTTCCCCTGATACGCCGGTACCTGGCGCATTCCCCTGTCGCTAACGGCGCACGTTGGTACCGCATTGGCAGCCGTCCCCCGGCAGCGGGTCCCGCCCCCCGCCGATTCGCGCGCGCGCGGTTTGGGCTGGGTGGACACGGCGGCCCTAAAGCGGTGAAGGGAAGCGGGAGGGCAGCGCTGCTGTCTGACGGCGTTGGGGAGCGTGGCCCGCCCGGCTCTGTCGCTTTGCGGTGTTCATGGGCAGCGTGCGTTGGGCCTTTCCCTGTGCCGCCTGGCGTCCCTGCCGCCAGGAGTGGCTGCTGGCCGCGCGGTTGGTGCAGCCCGAGGAGAAGGACCGCATCGGCCAGTTTGTCTTTGCCCGCGATGCCAAAGCCGCCTTGGTACATGCGGGCGGGGGGACATGGCGCGGGGCGGGTTCTCCTCCTCAGGGCTGGCGGAGCTCGTCCATGGGCGGGATGCAAAGCGTCCGGGGCTCTCCGCTTTGTTCTGTCCCGCTGCTGTGGGCGCTGCTCGCGGGGATGTGGCGGAGGCTGCCCGGGACCACTCCACTGGGAGCCGTCTCTGGCGCCGCTCATGGCCCCGGGACCTGCCCTTCTCCCTGGGAACGCGGTTGTCTCAGTGAATTCAGTACTTCTCATAGGAAAATACACCCTGCAAGGGCATTTCAGAGCAGTAACTGCTTTACAGAGAATGTTCTACTTACACCTTCACTTAGGAGGAAGAGAGGACGTTTGCAGTCTGCTAGCTACTGTGAAAGACTTGACAAGGTTTATGTCATGATACCAAGTTAGGAGACGAAACCGGTGTAGTAGGAGACATACACGAAGACAGTAGTGCAATGTGTAAGAAAGTAAAGCTGTTTTACGTAATTCAGGTTTTAAGCCTCGCATAACAGCGTGGCATAATACAGACTAATGCTACTTATCTGTGAGAAATTCCTTGTCACTTTAAGATGTTGAGCATTTCATTTAGTGCCAAAGTGACTTAATGAATGTACTGAAAGCTGTTGAGACAGTTTTACTGTTCAGTGTGGTATAAAAAGTATTCATCTGTGCAATAAAGTATCCTAAATAAGGTTGAGAAGGAACTATTTTATGTGATTCTTCTAGGCTGGGATAACTTTTTTTATTGGGTTGTCTCTGTCCTAATAGTGATAACAAATGTATTCTGTACTTAGTCTAGTGAACTCTTTTCGTTAAATTTACTTGGCGCAGGCTTTTATTAAAGAAATCTAAATGATTGGGCTAAAATATACTCTTAATTTATGTTAGCAATAATAAAACTACTTATAAAATAAAGTGTTTTTTGTAGCAACCACAGATATTTTGCAGGTAGCATAATAGTTCCATATGAATTGCTTCCCTTTATTTCATAGGCTGGTCGCCTGCTGATGCGGAAATTAATTGCAGAGAAGTTGTGCATACCTTGGAATGAAATATGCTTGCAAAGGACATCGAAAGGAAAACCTTTCCTGGCAAATAACGTACTCAGTATCTATTCGAATTACAACTTCAATGTCTCTCATCAAGGAGATTATGCAGTTCTTGCAGCTGAGCCTGAGCTTCAAGTTGGCATTGATATTATGAAGACTAATTTGCCAGGTAATGCATTATGGTGACCAAAGTGGATTCTCTAGTGCTTAAGTGCTGAATACTTTAGCGTTTTCCAAAGAACCAACCTGTGTCCTAGGAATATAGTGTAATTAGAAGAGAGAGTATGAACATATTGTATATTTGCTATTTTAATTATTAAATGCACTCCTCATAGATTATTTTGGGTTTTCTGTTACACCAGATATGAATATATTTCCAGTTTAGGAAAGCAGAACTCTGGAAAAATAAGGTCATGTATCCTGCTATGATATTGGCAGGATTGGCATCTGCAGCTATTTTAATTACAGGTTTGGTGTCTGTTGGGTAGAAGCAGGGACAGCTTTCCAACTAGGGACAGTGGGACCAATCTCTGTGAAAATTTATAATCTCTGAGTGTTACTCCTTTGTCCCATAAGTGTGGACATTGCATGTGTCAGCACAAGGCCCAGTACTGTAAGCAGACTGGCATCGGAGTTTTGTTGTGACTGTGTACTAGTAATTCCCAGTGAGAGGAGATCATGAGGAGGAAACATCTGAGGTGCCCCTGGTGAAAGACTAAACTCCACTAACTAGCTGTTGGCCTATTTACTTGTATGAAATGTTTCACTAACGTAACTTTATTAGTGAACTTCGGGACCCAAATTATAAATCAGAATTGTAGCAAAATGTATTTTTAAGTACAGTGTTATGAAGATCATTTAGTTCACAAATATTCATCAGTGTATGGCTGGTTTAAACAACAAACATACTGGGATTTACAATTTACTGTAATTTTAGTTTTTGAGACTTCCACAAATGTTTAACCACATATGACCATGAGAGCTGTATTCTTACAAAATCTCTCTTCATAATACTAAATTTCCCAGCATTTTATGCTGTGAAATAATTTGTATATTAGGGTGAAGATTCAAATAAACCTTGACAGGATAACTTCCTTTTTGGTTGCTTTACACTGTTTTAATGATTATTACAAGTGTACATTTTTGGATTGGCATGTTTAGCTAAAATGCACAGAAATTACTGGTCTAATCATCTGTTATGTCTACTACAGACCCCCAGTCTAAAGGTGGTGAGCATGTGAGGCCACACTGTAGCCAGTGGAGGACTCCACATCAGAGCAATTGTATATTTCATGGCAGGAACTGTAACAGCCTGTGGGTAAGGCTATGCTGGAACAGGTACACTCCCGAAGGGACTGCAGTAATGCAGAGCCCCAATATCAGATTAAGCTCAAGGCTGGTGTTTATCATACCTCTCCCAGGCAAAACAAAACATAGTGATGTCCCAGCTGTTTCTTCTCCTGTTGTCTTACACACCCTCAGCCTATTTGCTGATGGAGAAGGCCTTGACGCCATGCAAACATTGCTGATACTTGTGTGGCCTCAGTGCTGTTCTAGGCAAAGATTTAAAACCCAGTGCCATGCAGCCTACTGTTAAAAATTAACACCCAGGCCCAGTACTCTGGAAACACTTTAGGCTTGCCTTAAGGCCTTACCCCAAGATTTCGTAATCATAGAATCATAGATTAGTTAGGGTTGGAAAGGACCCTAAGATCATCTAGTTCCAATCTCCTGCCATGGGCAGGGACACCTCACACTAAACCATGTCACCCAGGGCTCTGTCCAGCCTGGCCTTGAACACTGCCAGGGATGGAGCATTCACAGCCTCCCTGGGCAAACCATTCCAGTACCTCACCGCCCTAACAGGAAAGAATTTCCTTATATCCAATCTTAACTTCCCCTGTTTAAATTTTAACCCGTTACCCCTTGTCCTATCACTACAGTTCCTAATGAAGAGTCCCTCCCCAGCATCCTTACAGATCCCCTTCAGATACTGGAAGGCTGCTATGAGGTCTCCATTCAGCCTTCTCCAGGCTGAACGGCCCCAATTTCTCAGCCTGTCTTCCTACCGGAGGTGCTCCAGTCCCCTGATCATCCTCGTGGCCCTCCTCTGGGCTTGTTCCAACAGTTCCATGTCCTTTTTATGCTGAGGACACCAGAACTGCACATCATACTCCAGGTGAGGTCTCACGAGAGCAGAGTAAAGGGGCAGGATCACCTCCTTCGACCTCCTGGTCACGCTTCTTTTGATGCAGCCCAGGATACAGTTGGCTTCCTGGGCTGTGAGCACACACTGCTGGCTCATGTTCATTTTCTCATTGACCAACACCCCCAGGTCCTTCTCCCTGCATAGCAGGACTCAATTACTCAATTTAAAAAGCTTTCCAGTTTCAGTAGGTGAATAGTGAAAATCAAAACCTTTAAATGTTCCTATTTTAAGTTTTTCTTGGGAAATGAAAAATTTGGGAAATGAAAAAATAAAGTCACTTATATATGAGGTAGGGATAGCTCATCCTCTGCTTTCATTTTATGCACCTGGAAGCGTAGCTGGCAGTTTAGACACATTGCCAATATCCAGCTGACAAGTCTTACGAAATGTGTTACACTCTACTTCTCAAAGTAGGAAACAATTGTGAAGAGTAGAGGTTTAATTTTATGTTTAGTTTTAGAGTCCTGTTTTTTTTTTTTATTGCTTCTCCATTCTCTCCCCTCTTTTGTTCTTCTCCATTCCATAATGCATTCAACTTTGTAAGGGGACATATTCTTAGTTCTTTGCCAATTAATAGAAAAAAAAATCTTTTAACTTCAATATTAGCTGGCTTTATTTTAAAAATATAATGTCTACGTCTTCCTTTTTCTTTTTTTTTAGTATTTTTTAGTTATTTATTCATTATTCCTTTCTCATTTCTCTCATGTGAAATTAAATAGTGAATAACTCAAATATTCATTGATCTACTGCTTAATCTACTGGCAGCATCAGAACAGATCAAGGTTTTTCCACCTTGTGTCTGTGTGTACTCTTTGTTCAGTGTCCGTAGTCACTGCTGTTGTAGAAGGTGTAGAATCAAAGGCTGTAGGTATATACGTCAACTTTAGCAGGCTAAGTTTAGGAAAATGCTCTTGAGTTCATCCTACCAAGTTTTGGTTGCTATTTTTGCTTCTGTCATGTGGCTTTTTAGTTGCCTGTCCTAGGATTTCCAAATAACAACATGGATCTGGACAAATAACTGTCATAAGTGTGTCAGCATCTGGTCATGCCGTTCTTTTCCATATTATGTATTTTAAAGAAATATTTACAGATTAAACAATTCCTGGTTCCAATTTTTAAAGAGGGTTTGTTTATGTCTATACGTATTCCTTTTTGGAATTATAATTTGTATTTTTGGAAAAGAAGTAGAATAGTAATAAAAATTAGTAATTTTATGTGTGAAAGTGAGCCAGCAAATTAACAATATTAGGGATAGAATTTTAAATGTTTATAGTCTTTGTAATATGAACTAAAGCTAGCAGTATTTTCACCTTTTTTTTTTTTTTTTTTTTTTTTGAGAAATATTTTTGTCTTAGCAAAATTACCTGGACCTCTTTTTACTGCTGTGCTATGAATATGAGGCTGACAATATTGTTTTATCTGATAGTTCCACTGAGTGGTGCTCTTGCTCTGTAGTTTCTAAGTATATTATATTTTTGAGAGTGAGTCCACTATAAATCTTTCTCTGGACAAAGAGTTCCCTTTGCACAGAGTACATTACAGTAGATCTGTTTTGTTTTGTTTTCAGATGATTGTTTAAATACACTTCATCTTCTGATGTTACCCAACAGAATCTTGATTGAGGTTTCTAATATTCTAGTTCTTACACTCCTTTATCATTCATCCAGTGAACAAAATACGCAGTGCGAATATACAAGACAGTATCATGCAGCTGGAAGTTTTGAGAAATAGGTTATTAAATTGTGTAATAGCAAGTAACAAGAAGACCTGCACATAAGCAATTTACACCACTTCTTAATCTGTGCTGCCAATTTTTGTTGTACTTAGGAACAGTAAGAAGCCATCTCTTTCTATATAACTTTTGCTGCATTATTAAAATCTGAAAAATGAAATTACTATAAGACATAGCCTTCCTCATAGGTGAAGGCAGACCACACAAGAAGCTATTCTTAGCAGTGCAGATAGAGACAGTTCTACAAAAGTTCCACAGGTATGTAACAGTTTGTCACCTTTTTTCTCTCTATTCAGATATTAAACTATATAATGTAGTGATGATAGAAAAGGAAGATGTCCTCTTTAGGTATTGTGTGTTGTTGCCTTTTGGTCATCTGGCAGGTTAGTTTTGTAGATTTAAATCTGGCTTTCAACTTACTTGGTTTTGAAGAATTACTGAGATCAATGGTTTTGGGTTTTTGTTTGAGGTTTTTCTGTTTGGCTTTTTTTTCTCTTTAGATCAGTTTAAGATGAACTCTTGAGTCACTTGGGAAAATGCACACTGTATTGTAAATTTGTCAATGAAGTTATTGTGGACATAATTTAGCAGGAGATATAATGCATATGAAATTATTTTAACCCATTCAGGAAGGAGATGAGAAGGATTCTCATAGTACTATTAACTCCGGTGGGGAAAACTCAGCTTGTGCTAATGTATTTGACCTGTAATTTATGGACAAGCAGTTTTGCAACCTATCAACTTGATTTGAATGGTGTGTGGGATGCTGATTTGCCAGTCACTTAAACTCTGTAAAGGAGGACATTTTCAGAGACTTAGGATATAATCATAGCTTAATAAAGATTGCTGTGAGAATTAAAAAAAAAAACCCAAAAATTTAGGTCTTAAGTTCAAGAGTGAATTTCTTTACAGTAATGCATTTTTTAACTTGGATGGAATTAGAAAAGCAAGTAAATCAACAGTTCATTCCTGATCTTTCATGATCAGCCTGCAATCTTTCTTACCTATTGCATTACAGTTGCTTTGATCCAGTCATCTCCAATCTCAATGTCATTCCAGAATTAAATAGTTGACATGCAATAAAATTAGCTTTTCTCATTAATCTTTTGGGTGTATGCTAGGTTTGCTTATTAAAAGACACAAAAGGATAAACTTTCTGCATGTGAATTGTGCAGAAAATTAATTCAATCTAAAAATAGTTCCCAGGATGCTTTTTTAAGAAAGTAGG